CCCCAAAACCCCAAAACCCCAAAACCCCAAAACCCCAAAACCCCTTGATAGCTCTTTCAAGCTGAAATTCATTTTAACAATTTTATTATCATTTATTTAACCCTATAATGTCTTCTGATTAGTAATCCTTCTGATACTTTACAGTAAACATTAACTAAATCCTCCATTGATCCTCAGGTAGAAGGCCTGCTTGATGCAGGATTCACTGGGTTTAAGTCAAGCCATTTCTTCTTTGCATATCTATTTCGTGAATTCCTTCCACTCAAGATTTTTCTTTCAAGTTGAAAATTTTTCTGTGTTAGACTATCTTTCTCTACTCTCCTAGTTATGTTCCCTTCTAAAATTATAAATCAGTCTGCCAGAAGTATCCAAGGAAGGAGAAATCTTACCTGTGTGTATTTCAAATTTCTGATTATGAACCATGACATTCTCTCTCTGGGTTTTAAACCCATCAAATGTTATATTCTTAACCCCTTCAAACTGATCTATCTGGTCGATTTCCTTCTTCACAAAAGTTTTTCGAAACTGCTCAACAGAGTTATTGATCCTTTCGAATCTGGCTAAATATTTAGAAAACCGTTTGCGGACGACTCCTTGACTGAGAGGATACAACCTCTGTGTAACTCTTTTATTTATCATAAAGGAGGACTTCCTCCTCTCAGTCCTAGGGCTTTTCTTAGGAAACGCTACTTCTATATCCTTGTTCGAAGGTCTTTTAAACCCCTTCTGAGGAGCCTAGGGGTTAGTAGGAATCTTACAACCTTTGGTGATATTGGAGAAGGGATTAACTTTATTTTGAATTTATTCAGATTTTTTCTAGCTTTCTGAGTTTTACTTGCTTTTAAAAATTTTCATCCTTTTTTCAATTGAGTTATTTTCTTTTTGATAGTTTCAAGATCGATTTAGGTTCAGGATTTGTGACAATTAGGCTGAGTTTTACATTTGCGCTTATCTTGCCCTCCTCAGATTGGGTTCATTCTGGGATGGTGTTCGTGACACTGGTAAGACTATTACAAGGCCTAGAAATTAGTAAAAATTCTACTTAATTTGGTCATCTATATGAAAGAACTCAGGAACTTTGTTGTTCCGAGATGCTGGAGAAGCTCCAGGGTACTTCTTCTCTTTAGTTTGAATATCAAGAAACTGATCTTGTTTCTTCTTGCTATTCTTTTTAAGCCTACTACTCTTTGTGCTGATGTTGTCTGGATCTTTGCCAGTATTATCAAAATTCTTAAAAGTTTCATCTCTATGAGCATGAGGCATCAAGTGTATAACTTTCCTACACAAAAATGAGGATTTTACGCTTACTCAAGTCTGTGTTGTTTTCTATAGTGGTTTTTTCGATTCTTGTTTCTGCGTCTAGGATGTTTATGACTATCATTGCTCCCCTTCTGAGACAGGATGGAATCATGGAAGTCTACTTTTTCGTCTCTTTTCATAGTAATTTTATTTCCCAATAGCCAGATCTCTTAAAACTTCCTGATACTTTTGGCTCTCATCATGGATCATAGTAATTGCTCTAGCAAGCTGGAGTTTGTCTGAATAGCCCTTGGTATTCTTCCTGATATCATTGTAGAGGAGGTGCCAGCCAGATTTGTCCTTATTTTTCCTTATCAAAAGCTATCGGGGCGAATCCGAACATGGGATTACCACTCTTTACATCATAAATACTCTGTTTTAGCTGGTTAAATACAGGCTTTGTGATTTTCCGTAGCCCAGCAGTCTTTGAATCAGGATCATCGTAGAATTTAGGAGCTCCTTTAATCTTTAGGAAATCAAAAGCAGGCTTGTTATCCTCGATGTTGATAGTGGAGTTTGATGGTAGGTTCTGAAGTTCTCTATTTTTGCTTCGAAATTTGTCTAAGATTCATTACGTGTGATTTTTCTCTAATGACTTCAGGCTAGGGTTGAGTTTTATATATGATATTTCAAAGAGATTTTGTTCCTTTACTTCTCACAAAATTTTATAAATTCTTTAAATCCCTTTAAAAACCAAGGAAATTGTTATGACCAATCTTCACTAAAACTTCATGAAAAATCAAAATTTACAAACCTCCTAGTTCAAAATTCGATTCTATCCACTCAAAAAATCTCTAAAACACCCTCCTCGACCTCCATTCTTTACTTTTCCTTAATTTTAAAATACTATTCCCTCTCCTTATTTTTCCTACCTCAATTTTAATCCTCAAAGCATCTTTTCTTCTCCTGCCGAAATTCATTTTATCAATAAAAACTTTATTTTTACTTGAAACTCTAAGAGGGGTTTTGGGGTTTTGGGGTTTTGGGG